AAGATATATTTGTTCATTTTGATTTTAATTTCTTACTACATGTCAAGATAATAAGGAAACTGTAACAGAAGACAAGTTCCTGCTGAGTATGGATCAAATCATTATTTATCAAGTACCTATTATGCAAAGGGAGCTTTGCAGGAAAGCAAAATACCATTGTTTGATGTATGGGCTCTAATAATGGTTAAATTATAAATAGATCTTATTGTCACTGCAGGACTAGAAAAAAGTAAAAAACAATGTGAAACCATGCCTATTTATCTGTCTGGAGGAAGTCGAGACTCTATTCTCTAACTTTCATTTCAGATAAATTAAAAAACAAACAAATTTAGTCTGGAGTTCCACAACTGAGGATTTCAAATGTTTCTGCTGTTCGGATAGTTTGGAAATATTATTTTAATGGTGTGTACAGACTATGCATGAGATAAAATAACTTTCTGCCAGTATTATCAAACAAGAAATCTGTGGAAATGACAAAAAGAATATAGGTGTCCAGTAATTTGAGTTTAAAAAGCACATAGTTTTAATACTTTCAAAGATGTAATTTTGAACAATAAAATAGGATTTCTTTTGTCCCAAGGAGCATTTTAAAAATATGCCTTATTTGAATTTAAACTGTATTATAGTTTAGTCTAGCAGCACAGGAATTAGAGTATACCTAGCAAGATCTTTCAGAATTTGAACAACAAAAAAGATACATATATAATACCAGTTCAAGAAAACTACATCTGATTTCAAGAAGCAGTATGGAATCTGTAATCTACTCTTAAGTTCTGTAGTCTTCTGTCCCTATAGAAATTCAAAAGTTGAAAGAATATCTATCCAATATATGTTATTGAATATTATTATTAATGAGCCATACAAAATTATCAATTATAAAAATATCCGAAATTCTTATAGCTACAAAACTAAAAATTTTTATTTTATTGCTTTTCAAGGGACTTAAATTTCATTTATTTCACAGTCATCACAGGATCTTTTTATAGTATAGACATGAGCCATATATATGTATATATACACATACACATATATACATATATATGTATGTATATGCATGGCAATCTCCTTGCTTCCTCCTATATGTGCTTGTATTTCTTGAACAAAAATTCAATCATATAACATTGCTATTTTGAAATATTAAAATAGTTTCAAAGCTATTTCCTTATTAAAGTGAAGGCACGCATTGCTGAAAATATCAGAAATATATTGATTATTATAAAAATACGTTAATTTTAAAAGTCTTCCAAATTTTTCTGGAAATTTTCGGAAACTTTTGGTCACCTAAGTCTGTATCTGATATAAACACTCTTGATTCAAAGATTCTTCATATAATATAATTTTCTAACACTTTTACCTTCCCAGTCAAGGTTTTCTAGACACACATCATTAGGTTAAAGTATCACTTTTAAAGTAGTAAACCCGCTGGGCTCGGTGGCTCAGCCTGTAATCCCGTGCCTTTGGGAGGCTGAGGTGAGTGGATCGCCTGAGCCCGCGGGTTCGAGACCCGCCTGGGCAGCGAGACCTCATCTCTACAATAAATCAAAAAATCAGCCAGACGTGGTAGTGCATGCCTGTAATTCCGGCTACTTGGAAGGCTGAGGCGGAAGGATTGCCGGAGCCCAGCGAGTCGAGGCTGCGGTGGCCGGGAGCGGCCACTGCACTCCAGTCTGGGCGACAGAGTGAGACTCCAACTCAAAAAATAAATAAATAAATAAAGTAGTAAACCCAAAACTCTGCACAATACTCTAATGTAGAATTCTTCTCATAAAGAGATACATAGAAATTCCTTGTCATTATTTAGTGTTTTTGAGATTGTTTGGCAAAAATATGCATTTCAACATAATAGTAGCTATTAATGATTTTTCTTTTCTGATATTTTTCAACATTTACCATCAAATATATATCTTTACTTCATATCTTATTGTTAGTTTAATTTCTTTGTTTTACCTATTCAAACTTTCTTTTGTGTCACAAGCCAATGTGCTAACTGGTATATCCTTACTTGCAAGTGTTCTATAAACTTCTGTCTTAATTCAAGTTACTGAGAATTAGATTGAAGACTAAGCTGAGTACACGTTATTAGAAATTGACATTGGTAGTTAGCACTTCTCATCCACAGATGTTCCATTCTTTATTCATGTTTTCCCTTTATTCAGATTACATTGTTTTCTTATTCACTTGGATGTCATTAAAGACTTTTTATAATACCTTGTTCAGTTTTCAACAATTGTATTTTATGTATAGAGAGGTGTTATTGCTCTTGTTGTCTAATTTTTGCCATTTCAGTCAGGCATATTTTGTTCTCTTTTAACACACACACACATACACACACACACATATTGATATATATGTGTGTTTGTGTGTGTATATAAACATATTTTTTCATAGTATTTTTATATTCTTCCTCGGTGTTCAGAGTTTACTTGTTTACTGGCCAAGTACAATTTTTGCAGAACCAGTGAGGTACAGAATATCCTTTGTCAAGAGCTCATTATTCAGCTGTGTGAAGCCTTTCTAGGTGGGAAGCTCTTTGCTTCCTGTATTCTCTTTTCTTTTAAAAAGTCAAACCTTCAACTGGACAAAAAAAAAAAGGAAGAACATTTTTATGTCTCCATGTCCTAGAACTTTCTATTTCAGAACTTATAATGCACTGGAAACATATTCTGACATTCTTCTTGTTTCTGATTGCATTTCCAATAATTTTCCTGAAAGACAGCATGCTTCAAGATTAATCATGCATGGTGTATACTAGGTCAGAAAGAAAGTATCCATCTACATTGCATACTTTCATGTTATCCTGTCATTCCACACATCATTATTCATGTTCCCTGAGATACAGGAACTAGTGCTTTACATCTCTTCTTCAAAGAACCAGCTGTGAGAATCCCAGTACTGTTTGTGCACATGAATACTTAGTTCATACATTTTCTATAGACTAAAAAATTGTTCTGTAGAGAAAACTTTATATTAGTCATCATGCTCATCTTATAACAGATTGATCTGCCTTCCCAAAGATCAGGTATTGTGGGATCGTATCCATGACTGTTAAATTATTATATAATAATATGGAAGCAATTTATCCTTTTTTTTCTTCTCTACTATAACATATTAAAGAATAGACAGCTGATGCATTATTAAAGATTTGTCTTTCACTGAGTAAGACAATGTTTTTTCATCTTTCTTTAGATTATTTATTTTGCTGAATAACATACCTTTAACAATTCAATTATATGGGTATATGTATATATATATATATATTTCCAGTTTATTATCTGTATTGCATTGATATTTTAAAAATTAATTAGCATCGTATTGCATTAATTTAGTGACATATAATCAAGAAAATATTATTGTGGGATATTGGATTATCTTTCAACGTTACATGCCTATATGTAACAGAATTTCCGTTTTCAAAATAACAAGTTGATATTAAATAATAAAACCTTTCGACGCATTTCCGCCACATGTTCTTTCTCAGGAGTGAACCCTGAACATATGTCATAATACTACAAGAAAGGGACATGGCCAGGGAAGGGAGGGAGGGGGTGGACACATAACATCATTATGGGTGCCTGATCCTAATCCATGCGAAGTGAGGTCCAATGGGAGACCCAAATTTCACTTGTATGTAAACCACTTATGTGCCCAATCCTGACTTGTACTGCACATCTTTAAAATAAAAAAAGAACAACCAAAAAAGCCCTAATTGTAATTATCCAATGATCCACTTACTTTTTAGTCCAATGTAACTAACTCATAGGTATAATTATATGTTGAGTTTCATGGAATTAAATGGGAGTTTGGAGTGTAGAATGTTAGTGGAGTATGTCTCTGGGATCAGCATCTGTGGACTATAGGAGAAGAAAAAGGATTGGGCAGAGTAAGAAGTCATAATGTATCTTAATGACTGATCCTAAGGGAAAACTCTAGAGCTAATTGTATCATTCAGTATCCTCAGTGATACAGGGATGGTAATGCTTCAGTCTTTATAACCTTGCAGCCATGAATCATTGATTATATGCTACTCTAGTAGGGTGTGACCTTGAGCCAGGTGACAATCTGCAGCTAGAGCAACAATTCATTCCATGAAGGGATCTGAACAGCACATTCAAGTTTATACCACAGGGGGTTGTAGCTAACAGACATTCTGGAATAAGGAATAAGAATACTAAGATAAACATACACTGTGTACCCTGACAACATCAATGCCATTTGGCAGTCAATGATGAAGAGTCAGTATGACGTGGTTTTAAGCAACATCTAGAATATATCCCAGGCTGTATTCTGATCATTTACTCACTTTTGTGATTGTGGCAACTTACACTCTGGAACTCAGATCATTTATTTTTAAATTAATGTTTATAATAAATTTGTTTTCTGATATACAGTAAGAAATTTAACACACTCTCTCATAAGATTTCATGGATTGATCAAATTGCATTTAATAAAAATTTCAAAAATATATTAATATTTTATTCATCCTCAACTTCCCCAAGATCTAACATGAGTGCTTCAAATCACAGCTAAGCCTTAAAAAGGTTATTAATTGATGTGGTATCACTACAGAACTATTATCTAAATTAGTGGTTTTGTACATTTTTTATGGATCTTAAAAAAGAAGTATATGTTCCTAGCACCCACATTCGGAGTCACCAGGTTGGGGAAAGTCCAACTAGCTCACCTCAACATTTATGGCCCAAATGTATTGTTTTTAAAACTTTAAGCTATTGAGTCAATTTTCAAAATGTTTATTGCTTTCTCCCTCCTTTGCTCCCCACTATTTTCCCTCCCCTTTAGTTTGACTTTATTAATTTTTTAATAGGTTTCTCAGTTTGACTACCCATGTTAGTTTCCCTTAATCACTGTCCCTTCATGTTACCTTGTCCATTTCATAAACTGAAAAAGAAGATCACACATTCCCATTTTGTCCATTAAAGGAAATGTGAATCGTGAATGGCGGCTTTACTAAGTATATTTTGTTTTGCTTATGTCTGTCATAGATAACACAGCCAGCATTCTGACAAGGCGGAGGAGATTTAGTCGATCTATTCAGGATGTGTATTATCTGCCCATTATGATCTCTGATGGTGGAATCCCCTCTCTCAGCAGCAGCAGCACCCTCACCATCAGGGTTTGTGCATGCGAGAGAGATGGGCGCGTGCGGACCTGCCATGCGGAAGCGTTCCTGTCCTCGGCTGGTTTGAGTACAGGAGCCTTAATCGCTATTCTTCTCTGTGTTGTCATTCTCCTGGGTAAGTCTTCCTAAACCCCACGTTGGTGTGATAGCAATTCTGAATGAGAGAGAATCATGTTGACAACATTTAAGGATTAGGAATGCATATTGTGACAAAACAGTGCAGCACAGATTTTCCTTTTTCTCCCTTTTAATATATATATATATATATATATATATATATTTTTTTTTTTTAAGGATGTGGGGTACAACTCAGGGTTAGGTATACAAATATTCATAATGCAGGCACCTTGTTAATGAGTTGTGCCTTTCCTTCCCCAGGCAGATTCCCACTACTGTGAATCACACTTCCCTGTCACACTACTGGCAGTTTTCCACTACTGCCAATCATTCTCTTATATTATGATAATCGTTCAAGGTCCGCTTATGAGTGAGAACATGTGTTACTCAGTTATTGATTTATTTATTTATTTTTGAGTTGGAGTCTCACTCTGTCACCCAGACTGGAGTGCAGTGGCTGCTCCCAGTCACTGCAGCCTGGACCTGCTGGGCTCCAGCGATTCTTCTGCCTCAGCCTTCCAAGTAGCTGAAACTACAGGTGCGCTACTACGCCCAGCTAATTTTTGATTTATTGTAGAGATGAGGTCCTGCCAAGTTGCCCAGGCAGGTCTCAAACCCTCAGGCTCAGGCAATCCACTCACCTCGGCCTACATTCTCTCCACCATTTGATGTTTTATGAGTTATTGATGATAGCCATCCTGACTAGAGTTAGGTGGCATCTCGGTGTAGTTTTAATTTGCATTTCTCTGATGACTAGTGAGGCTGAGCATTTTTTCATGTATCTATTGGCTGCTCGTACATCTTCTCTTGAGAACTGTCTATTCATATCCTTTGTCCACTTTGTAATGGGGTTGTGTTTTTCTTTTTGGCACATTTGAGATCCTTGTAGATCCTAGATGTTAGGCCTTTGTCAGACATACAGTTGGCAAATCCTACGAAAGTATTCCAGGCAATTGAGAAAGATGGAACTCTTCCCGAATCATTTTGCAAAGCTAACATTACATTGATACCCAAGCCAGGTAAAGATCCAACAAAGAAAGAGAACTATGGGCCAATATCCTTGATGAACATTGATGCTAAAACTCTCAACAAGATTCTGGCAAATTGGATTCAACAATACATCTCAAAAATCATCCACAAAGACCAAGTAGGCTTCATTCCCAGGCTGTAGGGCTGGTTCAACATTTGTAAGACTATAAATGTAATTAAATACATCAATAGATGTAAAAACAAAAACCACATAATTATATCATTAGATGTGGAGAAAGCTTTTGATAAAATCCAACATTGCTTCTTGATAAAAACCCTACAATATTTAGGCAGAAATGGAACATACCTCAAAATAGTAAGAGTCATCTATGAGAAACCCACAGCCACCATACTGCTAAACAGTCAGAAAGTGGAACCATTTCCCCTGAAAACTGGAAGAAGACAAGGATGCCCACTCTCACTCCTCCTTTTCAACATAGTTTTGGAAGTCCTACCTAGAGCAATCAGACAAGAGAAGGAGATCAGTTGTATCCAAATAGGAAAATAGGAAGTCAAATTATCCCACATTGCACATGATTCTATACCTTGAAAATCCAAGATAATCTGTCAAAAACTTTCTTGCACTGATAAGTTGGCAGAGTCTCAGGGTATAAAGTCAATGTGAAAAAGACAGTCACATTTCTGTTTTTTGCTTTTTTTGTTGTCGTTTTTTGAGTTGGAGTCTCACTCTGTCGCCCAGACTGGAGTGTAGTGACCGCTCCCGGCCACCGCAGCCTCGACCTGCTGGGCTCCGGCGATCCTTCCGCCTCAGCCTTCCGAGTAGCCGGAATTACAGGCATGCGCTACCACGCCCAGCTGATTTTTTTGATTTATTGTAGAGATGAGGTCTCGCTGCCCAGGCGGGTCTCAAACCCGCGGGCTCAGGCGATCCACTCACCTCAGCCTCCCAAAGGCGCCGGATTACAGGCTGAGCCACCGAGCCCGGCTGACAGTCACATTTCTATACACCAACAGCAAACAAAAAGAAAACCAAATACAAAGCACGATCCCATTCATAACAACCAGAAAAAAATCTAATACCTTGGCATCTTCTTAACCAGAGACATGAAAGACCTGTACGATGAAAACTACAAAACACTGCTCAGAGAAATTAAAGATGATACAGATTTTCTTTAAATTAATTTTCTCAAGACTATAGTTACTCTAGAAACAATTTGATATACATATGCAAGTTGGAATATCAGACAAAAAGGATGAAATCTGAGAGTAATCGTTTCTGAATGTATATATCTTAAAAGTAGTTGACATTAAAAATATTCTGAATCTCATGTTGAATTGTGTTCTAAAATTTACTTCTAAGAACATAAGAAATGTTCTTAGGTATGAAAAATGTGACTCTGGCTACCATTAACCCTGCTTAGCTTCCCGGACTTCTGGCCTCAAATGAGTCTCCTGTCTCAGCCTCCCAAAGTACTGAGATTACAAGTGTGAGTCACCATATCCAGCCAACTCTGCATAGATCTCAGATTAGATGTGATAGGCAATTCAGGGTGGTGTGGCCATATGAGTAAGAGTAGATTTCTTATATACAGCATGAGGGCTATAGTTAATAACAATATTGTATTGAACACTAGAAATTTACTAAGGGAGTAGATTTTAATTGCTCCTTCTCTACATACACACAAAGAGTGCAGCTATGTAAGATGATGAATATGTTAATTTGTTTGACTGCAGTAACCATTTTACTATATATTAATGTATCAAAACATAATGCTGCACACCAGAAATATAAACAAATAAATAATAAAATAAAACAAATCTGATGTCTTATAGAAACTTCCATTAGTCTAAACTATTTAATTAATCATCAATGTCAGCTGAGTTTCAACATGCTGACTCTAAATAACGTTGGGCTTCAGAGATGCTACGTTTTATCAAATTAAATTATGCTAACTTAAAAACATTAGAATTTTTGCAAATTTGAGATTTGCGCTGCAGTCTATTTTATTAAGAAATAAAAGTCTTTCTCTAATTTTATATTACCTATTGTGATAATCTAAGTCTCATTACCACTGGATTTGAAGCTTATGTCACTAGACAGTTTTCAGGTGGTTATTTGAAACAAAATAAAAATTTCATATTTTTTAACAGAAAAGTTAGTTGTAAGGAATCTTTCTCTTCATAGTTTTAACTGGATACGTGTTCCTTTTTCCAGTGTGTTTTTGTCCTTCTTTCCTTTTAGCAGTCTTTCTTACTGCTTACTTAGTATTTTGCTTGTATGAAAAAAAGAAATAAGTTGTACTGAGACAGAGGCATTCTTGCAGTGAATTTTCCTTGTTTTGTTCCTGTGGTGGAAGATAAGTTATTTGTATAGATAGAGTCCTCCATCTATACAAATAATTCCACCAGTAAGGTGAACTAAGGCAGGAATGGAGAAGGGATTTGTAGGGAGGAGTGACAGAGAATGAGGTTTGGGGGGACACGGCAAAGCTGGTGGGTTTTGTTCTAAAACAGTAAAGAAAGGCTGAAAGTCAAAGTCTAGCATAGAGTGTGCAATTTGAAAAAGATGAATATGAATAAAATGAAGAATGGATTTCCTGGTAGCAAGAGAGCATGCTGGCAAAGCATTAGGAAGTCTGTACCATCATTTCCCTCAGAAATGGTATGTTTTGGATCAGCATACTTATGGTGGAACTCAAGAAAAGTGAATAATCTCAACATACTCTAGGTGAAATCAAAAGTGATCTTTGATAGTTCAGATATCTAAGTGTGTTAGAACAGTATCAAAGATAACTCTTATCTCTTGCTGAACAAAGACCTCGACCTTCCCTGAGTTAGTGGATATTGAAAGTACACTTTGTTGGAGTCTCTCAACAAGATAATATACAGAGAGAAAAATGGACTAGGATTGAGATGTTAGAAACTCCAATGTGATTGCCAGTTCAAGAAGGGTGAGATAGTAGAGGACATCGAAGAAGTCAGAGAAGGAAGAAAATTAGTAAAATATAATGTCATAAAAGTCAAGAGGAAAAAGAGGATAAAAGAGGATAGAGCACTATGCTGTGTAGTAGATCTAGTCAATAATGTTGAAAGCTACTCAGAAGTCAAGTAAATTGAGTATCAAAAATTATCAATTGCACTTAGCAATATAGAGCATGAATATTTGGTATCCCATAATAATATTTGTTTCATTGCATAAAAGTTGTTTTCTAGTGGATACATGGTAAAGAAGAAAATCAGGAAAATTCGGCTTTTGAAATTTTATTTGTTTATATATTTAGTGGCCACAAATACTATTTTGTTTAGACAATAAAATATTTTTTTTGTCTTTGAAAATTAAAAAAAGAAAAAAAGATCACAAACACACCAGAAAGAGAAACAAAGCTACACAACAGGAAGAATTCTGGATTCTTCTAGGGCTCCTAACTGAAGTTACAGAGACTGGAACTCAGTGATGTTAATAAAAGTTCTTCCATACCGGGCTCGGTGGCTCAGCCTGTAATCCCGCGCCTTTGGGAGGCTGAGGTGAGTGGATTGCCTGAGACCGCGGGTTCGAGACCCGCCTGGGCAGCGAGACCTCATCTCTACAATAATTCAAAAAATCAGCCCGGCGTGGTAGCGCTTGCCTGTAATTCCGGCTACTCGAAGGCTGAGGCGGAAGGATCGCCGGAGCCCAGCAGGTCGAGGCTGCGGTGGCCGGGAGCGGCCTCTGCACTCCAGTCTGGGTGACAGAGTGAGACTCCAACTCAAACCACAAAAAAAAAGTTCTTCCAGAGTTTTTACTCTAAAAGATAGTTCAATAGGGTGAGACACATTATCTTCGGATTTTGCTCTCATTTATCAGCATAAAACTATTTTCACATAGTAAGATAAAGTTTTTGTTGTTGTTGTTGTTGTTTGAGTTGGAGTCTCACTCTGTCGCCCAGACTGGCATGCAGTGGCCACCCTGGCCACTGCAGCCTCGACCTGCTGGACTCCGGCGATCCTTCCGCCTCAGCCTTCCAAGTA